TCTTACTTGATGTCCTTTAGAATGACTTTCATAACATAAAATTAAGATGATGGAACACACCTGAATTTGTTGCAGGTATCTTTTCAAATACTCAGCTAGGCTAATTCATTCAAAATGGTTTCCAAATTACGAAAACTGAAGCTGTATTTATGCAGTGGAAAAGAAGAACTGGACCAAATTGGAGAGAACATAGGATAATCAGCTTTTTCATTTACTACTACTATTCCTTTCATTTATACATCAAAATCTTTTTTAAAAAAATACATATTTACTATACCAGTTTGAAAGATAATGAAATATTTTCAGAATGGCTTTGCAATATCTGCCTTGTTTTGATATTGTCCAGAGAATAACTGTTACCACAGATTTAGAAGTTCTGCTCAAGAAGAAAACAATTGACAAAACCTGAAGATCTGAACTACCACTTAAAGAAAACTTACCGTTTTAGGACCTGCTGTCAATTGATTTAATACTGCTGGAAGTGTCAAGAAGCCCTTCTAATACAGGTCAACGTTTACAATGGTCATACGTCTAAACAAAACTTTTGAAGTCAAGGAATACTCAAATTGTTCCCCCCCCAATTCTAAAAAGCAAAAAAACCCACACTGTAGTATTAATGCAAATAGTTAGTTAGGTTTCTTTGAAGGGCGATGCACTTCATTACTGATCTAAGAATATTAATTTGCAAAACTTTCATTGGCATGCATAATCCATGACGCAAGGTCAAATTAGCCAGTTTTAAGCTATTTAAAAGAGTTATTTCAACTGGAGCATTCTCTTATACCTGCAACCTTACAGCGCCACTGCCCACCTTCCCTGGTGGTGTAACAGTTGTTCTGTCCCTCAGTGTTTTATAGATTTCTGAATCATTTGCTCCCTGCCCTAACACACAGACATGTTGTTAAAACATTGCCACTTGTACAACTTTTGTACAGTACAGGCATTAAGGCAAGGACACATTCTTTTACTAAAATAAACTAAGCAAAGACAGAAAGAATTTACAGCATATGATAAGAGAGACTGGCAGCTTTGGAATCTGAGTTTGTTTTCAATCATATAGGCAAAAAAATCATTATAGCTATTATACAATTAAGCAAAGAACATAAGGACGCTACTTTTTTTTTTTCTTCCTTGCCTATTAAAAAGGGGCTAGAAGAAGCATGAAGTCTAAAAAAAACAACCACTGCTAAGAACAGCAAACAAAACACTACATACCTACCCTAATTATAAAACCTATCTACCAACAGCAACCAACTTCTTACATTTCCATAACTAGATTTGCCTATCAATTAATGGCACAGAAATGAGATAGCATTTAACGTAGCAGAACACAGAACAGCACAGTTTAAGTTAACAGACAATCCTGCCAGCTAGCAGAATAGATGAATCTGCAGATGAAAATATGCATTTATTATATTGGTGTTGCACTCCAAGGTCACAGTAGAGTCAAAATAAGATCATTATTAAGTGTAACAAGCTGATACCGATGAGCTTCCTTTGTATGCAATAACAGAAACTTGACATCTAGTTTATATCTTCAAGCCAAACTGTTTTTCACATCATTAGGGAGCCAGAAGATATCAAGACAAAAGTCCGCAATAGAATCCCCTCCATCCCATATTTACTTTGGCACAAATGTGACATTTCTGTCCTTGACTGTCAGCTCTTACTTTAATATTACTCACATTTTGGTTTACTTCCCCAAGCAGCATTACTTTAAAGACATATCACACACATTACATGTTTGTAGTTTATTCATTGTATTGCCATATAACATTACGCTTTACACATGCTGCATGCCAGAAGTTATTCCTAACTTGAGCTAGTTCATAACTCTGATATTTTAACTTCCCTATAATTTTTCACATCCAGCATTTCTTTTCATAGCTCTTTGCCTCCTAGTTTATAAGCACGGCTTTTAAGCGCTTATCTTCCATGACAAGAATTCCAGAATATCATTCCTATGAAGTTAGCTAATTTAGAAAGCAGACTAGAATTTGTCACAGCCCATCAATAACTATTAGAACTGGACACTGTGGTGCATAGTCGATCTTTGAACAAGCTGTCTGCTGTGTATTACTGGCAAACACATGAATGCTTTAATGGTTTGCTTTTGGTCACTGAAACAGAATGCTTTCTAAACTGTTTCCACCCATGAAGTACCTTAGAAGCTCTGCAGGTCTCTTCGCATTCAGAAGCCATGCAAGGAACTTAAAACAAGCAGGCTGAGACATGCTCCCAAGACTGGTTTAACAGCTACTGAAAGATGCTGAACCTAGGATCCACAAGCTACAACTGAAATGGAAAGAGCTGCTTCCTTCAGCCTTTTCATATAGTGGCAAAGGGCACTTCTAGCCACTTGGCCTGCAATCACAGAATGGTTGAGATTGGAACCTCTGGAGGTTGTATAGTCCCCTTGCTCAAAGCAGAGTCCTCTACAAGAGGTTAGGCAGGACCTTTCCCAGTCCAATCTAGGTTTGGGTATCTCCAAGTACAGGCAGACTCCACATCCCAGTGTGTCTGCTGTGGAGCCCAGAACTAGATACAGCATTCCAGGTGGGTCTAAACAGTGTTGATCAGAGGGGTTGGATCACCACCCTTTGTCTGCTGGTGACGCTCATCCCAATGCGACCCAGAGTGCTGTCAAGTCCTCCGACACAAGCGCACATTGCTGGGTCATGCTCCACTTGTCCACCAGCCTCACCTCTGCCTGGTGGACAAGTTTAGCAAAACCTCCACCTTTTTTCAGGTTCCTACTTAGGATATAGTGCTTATCCAGGGGTAACAGTATTTTCTTGATACTTAAAAAAAAAATAAAAATCAGGTAATAGGCATGTCCAGGTTCATTATACAGCAATGTGCTTCTCAAGCCTGCAGTGATAGAGACATATATCAAAATTACAGTTCAGACTCCAGTAAACACAAAGATTACTTAGGATGAGAGAAAAATACTGTGATATTTTGTAATCTCTACAGTAAAGCTACATTATTAAGCATTAGAGACAGTTTCGATGCTCATATCCTTCAGCAAGAACAGAACAAAATGAAACAGAGAAGTTGTCTTACTAAACGAGCAAAACCACAAATTCTGTATCATGTTCAAGTCTCAGTAGCTTACCATTATAAAAGCTGTTCACGATGAGTATCACCATACGGTAAGAAAGACTGAGGGAAGTCTATCCTCATTTAGCCAAAATGTAAACTTTAATGTTGAGTAAAATGCATGATTTTAGCAAACTAGAAGAAATATGGCCTCAGTGCATTCAATGTGTGCAACTACATTCTGTGTTCTTCAAGTTACTTTGATGTTATGCAAATAAAAATACTTAGGCTTGAAGGCAGAAGTTAAATAAGCTTATTTAAAACTTTTTTTTCTCCTTTAAACACTAAAGCACCTATTCAGCAAACAGAATGAAAAGCTTTAATGTTTTACAAGTGCAACACTTCGTACCACACGGTCTTGCAGTGTATCATGACAGACTTCCATGGTCGTGTCTAAACCAAAGCTGAGCATTACTTAATCAGGCATAATAGAACTTGCTATGAAAGTGAAAATATTTCCATAGTGCTTTTTCAGCAGACCTAGGACGT